TGTGTCTCTCCTCCGTCTGTCTGTGCATCTCTCCATCGCTCTGTGTGTCTCTCCGTCTGTCTGTATGTCTCTCTGTGTGTCTCTCCGTCTCTCTGTGTGTCTCTCCGTCTGTGTGTCTCTCCATCACTCTGTGTCTCCGTCTCTCCGTCTCTGTGTCTCTCCGTCTGTCTGTATGTCTCTATGTGTGTCTCTCCGTCTCTCTGTGTGTCTCTCCGTCTGTCTGTGTCTCTCCGTCTCTCTGTGCGTCTCTCTGTGTGTCTCTCCGTCTGTCTGTGCGTCTCTCCATCACTCTGTGTCTCCGTCTCTCCGTGTGTCTCTCCCTCTGTCTGTATGTCTCTATGTGTGTCTCTCCGTCTCTCTGTGTGTCTCTCCGTCTGTCTGTGTCTCTCTGTCTGTCTGTGTGTCTTTCCATCTCTCTGTGCGTCTCTGTGTGTCTCTCCGTCTGTCTGTGTGTCTCGCCATCACTCTGTGTGTCTCTCCGTCTGTCTGTGCGTCTCTCCATCACTCTGTGTCTCCGTCTCTCCGTGTGTCTCTCCGTCTGTCTGTGTCTCTCTGTGTGTCTCTCCGTCTGTCTGTGCGTCTCTCCATCACTCTGTGTGTCTCCGTCTCTCTGTGTCTCTCCGTCTGTCTGTATGTCTCTCTGTGTCTCTCCGTCTGTCTGTGTCTCTCCGTCTCTCTGTGTGTCTCTCCGTCTGTCTGTGCGTCTCTCTGTGTGTCTCTCTCTCTCTCTGTGTGTCTCTCCGTCTCTCTCTCTGTGGTCTGATGAACCTGTGTCGAAAGTGACTGTGGAGTGACTGGTCTCCAGGTCATTGATAGAACAGGAAGAGCAAGTGAAAGTCTTTCCCGTGTTTGCTGGATTCTGTTCCTCACAAACCCTGAATCTTTCACACAGTCTTAAAGTGAACTCAGTTCTGATGTTTGAGAGGAGTGCATGTGACGTTTTGATGTGGTTTGATCTGATGTTTGACCTCGGACTGCGGCTCTCTGATGATGATGATGTTGTTGTGTTTCTGCAGGTCTCAGCTCTGGACCAGGAGATCATCGAGGTCGACACAGACACCAAGGAAATGCTCAAGCTTCTGGTGAGAATCGTTCAGTCGCTCTTCAGTCCTGTGTCTGATGAACCTGTGTCGAAAGTGACTGTGGAGCCACCGTCTCCAGGTCATTGATAAAACAGGAAGAGGAAGTGAAAGACTTTCCCGTGTTTGCTGGATCCTGTTCCTGACAAACCCTGAATCTTTCACACACGCTTGTTTTTGCTGCAGCTAATGATTACATTAATGCTTCAATCATGGTTAGAGGAGTTGATTTATCAATGTAACGGCTCATATGACAGTTCAGGTTTTGCCTTGAGTTTAGAGGCTTAGACGTGAGCTAACAATGAAACACTCTATTTTTGAGTGACTTACATTATTAATTACATGACTTCAGTGAAGCAGAGAACTTTCTGAGATTCAGTGGAATCAACATACTGCAATCATGATGCATTATGATTCATATTGTAATTGTGATGCTCGAGGCATGATATAGAGTGAATCAGTGTCAGTCTCTCCCTCAGTGGGCTTCAGTCCTGCTAAAGCGTCTCTGGTGATTCTGGGTTTATGTAGAGCAGGTCTGCCTAACCCTGTTCCTGCAGAGTGCAGCTCCAGCCCTGATCAAGCACAGCTGTCTGTAATTATCAAGCGCTCCTGAGGATCCTGGTGAGCTGCTTCAGGTGTGTTTGATCAGGATTCAGGAAGCTAGGTCTCCAGGAACAGGGCTGGACACCCCTGAGTTAGAGAATCTTCTGATTATATAAACTGAACGCCGGACTGCATCGGCTTGTTTTCTGGCCAGCAGTGTGAGCTGTTCGTTTGAGCACTACTCTCTGTTTTCATGATCTTAAACACTGATGAGCGCTTCTGCCTCCGTCAGTCGATCGTTCTGTCCTCGCTAACACTGTTTCTCTCTCCGTCAGGACTTCGGCAACCTGTCCAATCTTCAGGTGACTCAGCCTCCTGTCGGCATGAACTTCAAGACCCCTCGCGGCGTCTAGACATTTGTAATATATCTCTTAATAAAACTTGCGAAAAACAAACACTGATGTTGTGAACTCTTTATTTCTCAATATTAACTTTCACAGACTAATTGTAACCGTTTGATTTCTTTCATGCAATTTCAAACATGTCATTTTTGGATGTTATTGAGGCTTATTGATGGGTTAATGCAAATAAGACGGATATTAATGCTTCAGATCTTTTGTTCTAACTCTCAACTTCTTTAAAATATTTTTGTCACTCTTTAATATGAGCTTCTGGAGAATTGTTGCATCCTGCTAGTGTGACTGTTTTAACTTTTTTTTTTTGGCCAAGTCACCTTTATATAGCGCTTTTAACAATACAGATTGTGTCAACGCAGGTTTACAGTATTAAATGGTGAAATAGTGTGTCGATGATGCAAAAGGACAATAATAAACACTCAATTTTCAGTTAAAGACCGTTCATAATTGAATTCAGTGGTGTCATCATCCAGCTCAGTTCAGTTCACTCAAGTACTGAGGAGCTAAACCATGCAGGGCTTTATAAGTAATTAGCAAGATTTTGAAATCTATACAATGTTTAATATGGAGCCAGTGCAGTGTTGACAGAACCGGGCTAATATGGTCATACTTCCTGGTTCTAGTAAGAACTCTAGCTGCTGCATTTTGGACCAGCTGGAGTTTGTTTATTAAGCGTGCAGAACACCCACCCAATAAAGCATTACAATAATCTGAGGTCATAAACGCATGGATTAACATTTCTGCATTTGACGTTGAGAGAATAGGTCGTAATTTAGATATATTTTTTAGATGGAAAAATGCAGTTTTACGAATGCTAGAAACGTGGCTTTCTAACGAAAGATTGCTATCAAATAGCACACCTAGGTTTCTAACTGATGACGAAGAATTGACAGAGCAGCCATCGAGTCTTAGAGAGTGTTATTACATGCAGAGTTTTTAGGTCCTATTATTAACACCTCTGTTTTTTCAGAATTTAGCAGTAAGAAATTACTCATCATCCAGTGTTTTATCAACTATGCATTCCGCTAGTTTTTCAAATTGGTATGTTTCGCCGGGCCGCGAAGAAATATAGAGCTGAGTATCATCAGCATAACAGTGAAAGCTAACACCGTGTTTCCTGATGGTATCTCCCAAGGGTAACATGTAAAGCATGAAAAGCAACGGTCCTAGTACTGAGCCTTGAGGTACATACTGCACTTGTGATCGATATGATACCTCTTCATTCACTGCTATGAATTGATGGCGGTCAGATAAGTACGATTTGAACCATGCTAATGCACTTCCACTAATGCCAACAAAGTTTTCTAGTCTATTCAAAAGAATGTTGTGGTCGATAGTGTCGAGCAGCGCTAAGATCCAATAGCACTACCATGCCCCAAACTCTCGCTATTGGTTGAGCTGGAACGAGATTGACGGATTTATATTTACATATTACATTTGACATTTCTGCCCCCCTCGCTTCCGAAATAATGCCCATGACTAGAGCCTTTTACTGGAAAAATATTACTGATGATGATCCTTATGTGTCAATGGGATTGACGTATACCGACCTGAGAATCATTTTCTCTGATAATATTTCATGAATCAAGTCATATGTGAGGCAAATGAACAACAACAATAATAATGAGAGAGTTTTTAAGCGGAATTTGCCTCATATTCGATGACATTTGCATCATTGATTCTATCATATTCCTGTTTATCTCTGTGAATCTGCTCTGAAATTATCTCTATTAAAGCGCTACAGAAATAAAGCTGACCTGCTAAATATTATGTGTTTTCATGTAAATAACTGAATAAAAGAGAAGTAAAAACTCTTTTGTCCCAATCGTTTCTGTTCAGTCTTTATGCTTGAGGCTCATGATGAGCTGGTTATTCAGACTCGCAGCAGTCATCTGAAAGCAGATCACAGAGAAATATATATTTAAAAAAATATAAAGAGTCTTAAATTTCATGTCTGAAGATGCGGTAACAGTAGAGAAGCCTCCATCTGTTGAATTAACGTGATTAAACAAGCAAACAAACACTTAAAGACAGTCATGTGTTCAGATTTATGCTGTTCTGAATTCAGTCCATCATGTAAATCTCTTACCAGGTTTCCTGTAGATGCAGCTTCACCAGACTCTCTCCTGCTTTACCTGCTGCAGGTGTGTTTGATAAGAAACCCTGCAGAGCTGAAGTTAACACACTTTACACAACTCTTACGTTTCTGTTCTTACAAGATGACTTCTGCCACCATTAGACAACAATTTAAAGGGGTCATATGATGTTGCTAAAAAGAACATTATTTTGTGTATTTGGTGTAATGAAATGTGTTTATGCGATTTAAAGTAAAAAAAAAACACATTATTTTCCACATACTGTACATTATTGTTTCTCCTCGATGCCCCGCCTTTTTGAAACGCGTCGATTTTTACAAAGCTCATCGGTCTGAAAAAGCGAGGTGCTTTGCAACTTTACAGATCTTCTTTATGCACCAAGAGCTTGTAACACTCCAAAGAGAAAGGAACACTTGAAATCGCATCATATGACCCCTTTAAGTTTGAAATATAACAATATATTGAAATCTTTCAAGGAAGAAACTCAAAAGCTGTTCACATTACAGAGAATGAAGGCAAAGGTTCGTCAGATTGAGTGGATGATGCTGAACTGTATGTGATATTCTTCATCACCAGCGCAGTGTACTTGCAGAGCATAGCAGTACAGGAACAGTACTGACTACTAACTGTGGGATAATCTAGGAGTGAAACTACATGACAGTATTTGACATGTTTTGATTCCTAATACTGTTTCCGGCCACGAGGGGGCATCGTGGAGTCAGAGAATAAAGGAGTCCAAGGATGTTTGTGTGCCTTTTACTCACGCGTTAAACACGACACTAACTAACCGACAGAGCTGGAGCACTGCTCATCATAAATGCACTCGCATGCAGAGCAAGAACGGTGGAAATGTTCAGGCAATGTGATCCTTTAATTTACAACTTTATTAAATCTGTCGATGAAAAACAAGAACGCAGTTGTGGAGCTGGGAAGAACAGTCAGCGCGAGACACATCAGGAGCTTCCGGTGCAAAAGTTCATCATCGTAATCGATATTATTGCAAAAATCTTCAGTAAAATCCATGACTGTCGCACCAGTCCTCAGAGCAGCACGAGGCAATGCCATGAAGGAGGAGACAACTGAACAAAAACCAAAACAAAGGAAATAAAACATTTCAGAATAGACGAAACACAATCACCTTGTTACGACTAAACTCTGTCACTGTCACAACATCAGAGAACTGCTTTTCTTTTAAATTAATTTAAATATGTTTAAAAATATTTCACCATCTACTTTTATTGCGAAAATAAGCAACTGGACTAACTGTGACGATGACGATGATGAAGATGTATTTCGAGCAGCGTGTGGCCACAGAAACGGCTGCGGCACGTCTCCATGACGACCGCGTGTTTATCTTGCGCTCAAGCAGTTGCGAGTTTTTGGACAGTTTGCTGGTTCTCTGAACATCGGTACGTTTCCCTGAACACAAGTGCAGCCCCGGAGCGCGACGGCCGTCCTGCCGGAGAAAGAGCAGAGCGCCGCCAGAGGCAGGAATCAAAACATTAATCCAGACGGGAAACAGTCAACGGCGCCACAAACCCAAGCGTCTCTTTGTCTTCTGGATTCATATTTCCCAGGGCAGTGTGTGTGTGTGTGTGTGTGTGACAGAGAGAGATGAGGTTTGTAAACAGCTCCATTGCAGAATCTGATTGGATGGTGGGGCGAAAGATGCGGGGCTTCATGCAGAGGGACTCGGGTGGGCTTCCTGTCAGAAACACCAGCTAGCAGTTTGTGTTGCTCACACACACACACACTCTCCCACACACACACACACACACACACACACACGCGCACACGCACACGCACACACTCACAGACACAGACACAGACACAGACTCACACACAGACACAGACACTCACACACACACACACACTCACTTACTCACTCACTCACACACTCACTCAGACAGACACACACACAGACACACACACTCTCTCTCTCCCACACACACACACACACACACTC